CCTGGTCACGGCCGACAATTGGTCATCCAATGTCAGCCGCGGATCCAGGAGGACTCCCAAGTTGCGCACCCTCTCTGAGGGGGCCAAGGTTTCGCCCCCTATAGACAGCGATGGCGTCAGCTGGCTATGCCGAGGCGCCGGCAACCACAGCCACTCGGTCTTGGAAGGGTTGAGCCTGAGTCTGTTCCTCCCCATCCAGTTTGCATTGTAAAAGTTCTTGTGAAGGTATTACTTGACATGATGTGCAAGTAAACATTCAACACAAGATGGGAGATTTGCTCAGAATTTGGGAAATAAATAAAGAATGATAAGGTTAGTGTTGGTTTTTATAGTTATACTGAACATTATAAAAATTACATTAACTTCAGTAAAGTATAAGCCATTTTTATAGCTATATATTCCCAAATAATATATATTAAGCATATAAGAAAAAAGTACAGGGAGAATAAATAGTTGTTATAGAGTTACAAGTTGTTACACAATTATTTTCCTCTTAGGGGAAAATAAACTTTTCAAAGTGATAGATATGTATATAATTTATATTTCATCTTCCTACAGCATAACGTCATGCTGAACACAACAAATATATTGGATTTTGTACTTGTTGGATTTTCTGAAAATCAAGAAGTTCAAATTTTACACAGCAGTGTTTTCTTGATAATGTATCTTTTTATCTTGGGGGAAAATCTTTTGATTATTTTTTTGATACTGTTTAATCATTGTTTGCACACTCCAATGTATTTCTTTTTAATCAATTTATCTATTGGTGACCTTGGTGGGACATCTGCCATTATACCCAAATCTATAGTTAATGCCCTCATGAATTCTAAATGGATTTCATATTCTGAATGTGTGACACAATTGTTTTTCTATCTTTCTTTCTTGTCATCCAATTTCTTCCTTCTCACTGTCATGGCCTATGATAGATACATTGCTATCTGTCACCCACTGCACTTTGCATCCATAATGAAGTGGTCCAGTTGCATTAAAATGGCTGGAGGGGCCTGGGTTATTGGATTTCTGCATTCAGCTCTTCATACAGGAAATATTTTTTCAATGCCTTTCTGCTCCAATATCATCAATCAATTCTTCTGTGAAGTTCCACAATTAATCAAGCTCTTTTGTCCTGGTTCTTACCTTGGTGAAACCTGAATACTTATCTTTAGTTCAGGCTTAGAAATTGGCTGCCTTTCATTTATTATCTTGTCCTATGTGTGGATCTTTACCACGGTGCTGAGAATGCCCTCAATTGAGAAAAGAGAAAAGGCCTTCTCCACTTGCATCCCCCACCTCATTGTGGTTTCCCTACTGGTTGGCAGTAGCCTCTTGGTTCACGTGATACTACCTGCTAATTCTCCATACAGACTGGACCAAGTGTTTACCACACTATATGCAGTTGTGCCTTCTCTAATGAATCCAATAATCTACAGTATGAGGAACAAAGATGTCAAAACTGCCTTGAGGAAATTGGTTGGTTGACAATTATTCTAGCAAAGAATTATAATTTCTCTTTGATGCACCAATTTCTTCATTACCTTAAATTTGAAATTCAGCAAACTAAGAAATTGCAGTTAGATAATGGTGACTAACTAAGCATATCCTATTGAATATACTTTATTTGATGTGTTATAAATTTTGATTTGTTATATCAGACCAAAATAAATATTTTAAAATATTGGGCTTCTTGTAATACCAAGTCTGTTGGGATTTTGAAATGTGATTAATAAATTGTTTTGATCGGTGATAGTTTACTATTGGCATTCTGAAACATTGTGGTAATATGAAACTATAATTAGAAACTAAAAATATGACTGGTTAATATTTAAAGAAAATGGCAAATATGGGGTAATCAAATAGAAAGACTGGATCAGTCATGAAAAACCACACTCCTTTTTAATTAAGAAAAGAATGATCTAAGAAGGACTCTAGTAATATTCCTGCCTTTGTATGATTTCTGCTACATCTCAGTCCTTTATCACACTGATGTATCTGACACACCACTTCTAGCACTGAGTGGTATATTTTCATAGAAAAAGAACTGTTTTTGCAATCAGTATCTCAGACCTGTTTGCTTAGTAATAATAAATTTATTCAAACATCCAGCCAAATTTTGAGGGATAGTCTGGGAGCAGGAGGACTTCATCAACTATCCAATGAATCAGTATTGGATAGTTTTTTATTAACCTGGGAAAATAGGCAAAAGGTGGAAGTTATGTATATATGCTATTTATAAAGAACCAGTTGGAATCAAGACTGGGAGAATGGCCCATTTGTTTGCATTTTAGAAACTTGAGAAGACTACTTGTTTTGACAGCAGTGTTGATGTTATATATTTAACTTCTTTTTAACTATTTATATCTTTAAGTTAGGTGGATATTCGTTTTTATTTTTATGGCATTTTATATTGTGTTTTATCAGTTTTATATTCCATGTACTGTAATACATAGCAGTCTTTTGATTTCAATGAGGCAGAAAAAATGATAAATAAAATAAGGAAATAAGTAATTTCTCATCTATTTTCTTGCTTCAGGTTTCATTCTCGCATACACACCTGATTTCTTGAGAGAATATCAATTTTGTTTTCAGGTAGCAGAGTTAACAATCCACTCAACAATGTCAAACAAAGTGTGCCTGCAAAGTGTGTTTTTCAAAAGAGGAGTATACAAAAAAGTCATCTGAACTGATCCTAGAGTTTTCATCAAATCCAACTGATCCTAGAGTTTTCATCAAATCCATCAAATTCAAGAGTGACACTGATACCCAGGGATCATGTTTTGTTGCTTCCAAACTCAGGCACCCTGAATTTGGTGTGGAGCTGATAGATCCCTGAATTTGAGATCCAAATCCAGATCCAATCCAAATACCATTCAGATCCCTGAATTTGAGATACTTTTACCTTTGTAAAGAGGCTATTTACAAATCTAAAAATATAAATTACCAATTTAGGCAAAACAAAAATTATTATTAACGGGTGGGGAAAAGCTCAATTTTTTTCCAGGGGGTACAGAAATCAATTCATTAATAGAAAACATATGTATTTATATGTATGTATGTGTATTTATTAATATATATTAATATATTAATATGTATTATGTGTATTTATTAATATGTATTAATATGTATGTGATGCATCAGAAAGCAAGTGATCAAACAATGAAATACAATGTTTACCTGAGAATTGCACAAGACAAAACATAGATTCTAGATAATCTTCTAAAGTAGTAAAGTTATAGGTTACATTACTGCTTCCCAGCTGGATTTTTATCTTTCTTAAAAGTTGAAAGTGTATTCAAGAACTTTCAGAATATGCTCTGTATTGTATAGTTTCTGAAAAAGCTCATTCTCACATAAAACAAAAACATGCTTTCATATAGTTAAAAAGAGACTAGATTGAGATGTTAAAAGTGCTAATATCATCTTTTAAAATGCTAATAATGAAGGCTAAAATTTGAGGCCATAACCTTAGCTTGTGCATTGTTTCAAATCAAGAGAATAGGAGTAACCCAGGCTGCACCTAATTGTCACTCCTCAGAATGTTGCTGCAGCCCATGGTCACTACCTGGAATGTTTATTCTGTTGCTAGGCAAATAACTTAATAGAACCTCTGTTCTATTCTCCTTTTCACTGGACTATGACATCGATCACAAATTTTCCCAATGACCAACTCTCCACTATGTTGCTTCCACAACCTTTCCACTACTGAAAAGGTATAATAATTATTTACTGGAAATTAGTTACATTAGACATTACAGCAAAACCAGTGACTAATTTTGTCTCTAGCATTAAAGAAGTAGAGTAGAAATCTCTTTCTAAGCACAAAGGCCGCAGTAGCATGTGGATAGTAGTCTCCTCATGTTGTGTGTGGGAATTTGAGATAGATGTATAATGGAAGGTGTTGGGGTGATGAAAGTCCAAAAAAGTAACCAGAAGTCAAAGATTAACATTTAATCATTCTTAGTTCTGTCACTGGTCTGAAATTTACTGAAATGAATCCAGATACCTGTTTCATTCAAGGCCCTCTGAAACTAGCACAAGCCATCCAACTCATCAAGAGGGTAGTTGGAGGCCAGGCAAATATGGACAGGCCATGGCAAATATGGCTTCTTAAGAAACAGGTATAGATTATTTTCTTCAGTGGAGGCAGCATCACCTCCTCCCACAATGAGGCAGCAATCACTGTTTAGACCACTAAATAACTTATTTTAAATGCAAAATGTTTTATTTATGATCAAAGAAATTAATTCTATTTCCACAGTTTTAAAACTGTCTTCCACTGGTTCGTAGGAACAATGCATTCCAGCTAATTATTTCAAAACAGATTATGTAAATTTTATACATTTCCATTATTGATAAAAAATACATTGATAGCTTAAAACCTATCTAGTATTGAAGAATGTAAGAGACAGCAATGACATCAGAACCAGAGACAAGTGCTAAAGAAATGACCAGAAATAAATGTATATAAATCACACTTAAAGTTTTACAAAATTTTGAAAACAGCTACATCAGAACTAACCTGAGTCAGAGTAATAATGTTATTAAATAAAGCTTAGGCAGATTTTCATCCATTTTTAAACTGATAATTTCTATAGATTAGATATATATTTTACCTATGAAAGAATCAACTGGGCATATCTTGCTAGATTTTTTCATTCATTTTCCCCCCACCTCTACCTGATTCAAATGGCAATGATTCAGGATAAGGAATTGTAGTTTGACAGATTAAGTGCTAACATTGATCTGAAAGGACACGATGAGACTCTACCTATATTCAGCTGTGTTTCTCTTTGTAACTGGTTTTCCTTTCAATGAAAAGTGAAGGCAAAGACATAGAAAGTTTAATTCAAGAGAATCAAATAAAAAGATAGGTGAAGGCAAATGTCAGAATTTCCACAGTTTAGACAGGACAAGCTTGATATTCTTATTTCTCATGCTATAGATGATTGGATTAAACAGGGGTGGAACTAAGGAATATAGGACAGTGAATAATAAATCTAAATGGGTTGGGGTGTTAGAGGGAGGTCTCAAGTAGGCCGAGCATGAAGCTACCAAAAACATAGAAAAGATTATAAGGTGGGGAAGACAAGTGGAAAAGGCTTTCTGCCTTCCTTTTACAGAACGGATTCTCAACACTGCCTTGAAGATCATGGCATAAGATATAATGACAAAAGTAAAACAACCTAGTCCTGCAGTGGCACTGATCACAAGAACTCCAACCTCAACTAGATTGAATCCAGTGCAAGGTAATTTTAGCAAGTGTGGAATTTCACAGAAAAACTGATTGACAACATTAGAACAGAAAGGGATGGAAAATGTACCAGTGGTGTGCAACATTCCATACAATACACCTGTAACCCCCACCAAAATCACTATTTTGATGCAGGCTTTCCAATTCATCACCATTTCATAGTGCAGTGGATGGCATATGGCGACATACCGATCATATGCCATGACTGTCAGGAGAGACAATTCAAAAGCTTCAAAGGTGATAAAGAGAAAGATTTGAGCAACACAACCAAAATAAGAGATTTGTCGGATATCCATGAGAGAATTTACCATGGATTTGGGAACAATGACTGAAACAATGCCCAAGTCTTGCACAGCCAAATTCATTAGAAAGAAGTACATGGGGCTGTGCAGTTGATGGTCAAAAGCCACTACAGAGATGATAAGAAGATTTGCTATTGCAGTTGTCAGGTATAATATGAAGAATAAGAAGAAATGTAGAAGCTGCAGTTGCCGATTTTTTGACAATTCTAGGAGCAGAAAGTAAGAAACAGTGGTTTGATTCTCCATGCTTAATTTGTGACATACCTACAAGGAAGCACAGGGAAGGGAGATTATTAGAGGAAAAGTATGTATGCTATGTCTTGATTTGCAAAAAGAAATAATACAAAACTAGACATTATGCACATACTAAAAATATTACGATGCTTGAAGGTGGGGACTCTCCAAAAGCAAGTATATGATGCACTTGCACTCACTCACACTTCATAAAGAGATACGGTGAGAGAGGCACACAGACAGAGGCAGAATAGTTTTGGAGAAAAACAGAGCTTTTCTACTTAAATTTAAGTTCTATTTAAATTCTGTCATACAATTAATATCTCTTCCTTGAAACTGTACAGTACCTCTGGCGTAGCTCATTTGCTTATGTTTTTGGACTATGTAGCATCTGTTTCTCTATCTGGTCCATCTTGTGCTGCTGTCATTTTGTGATTAAAGTAAAAGGAGATTTGAGGAATAAGGAAGATACTTTAATAAATCCTATCCCCTAACCAATTTGAGTAAAGCTCAGTTGAAGTTGGCTTTCTTCCATCTCTATCTGCAAACTTTCCAAGCACCAAATGAAGACTCTAGAAGTGGAATATCCATTGTCACTTTTTATTAGAATGGTTCTATTTATCTACTAAAGTTTGATCTAGTAGGCAAAATGTATTGACCAAATACTGTTTATTTGGACTAATAATTAAGGAATCTTGCGATTGATTGTCACTGGTACTTTTCAAGCAGAAGCTGGACAGCCATGTTTGAAAGATACTTTTATTTGGATCTACACATGGATCAGGGAATTGGATTTAACAGTCTAAATAACTAGCTCCATTCTTGGAATGGTTTTTCAATTCTTCAACTCATACATTTCTCAATTATTTTACAGTTTATTACTTATACTATTTTATTGTAATATAGAAATGTGCTGCATTAATGGTGTGCTTAAAAGATATTTCCCTGACAAACCATTCATTGATAAGTTTTGTTCTAGGTGTATGCTTTCTTGATTTTTTTCATAGGCATGAAAATTAAAATCTTTCCATCAAATATTATCATAGAATGGGTTTTTGCTTCATAATTTTAACTAAAAATTGGATTGACCAAGTTTTGAAATAGCTATGATTTTTCAAAGATGAACATACCTTTGAGTAATTTGACTCAAATATTTGTCAACAACCAGACAATCTACTCTGTTGGGTCATTCTTCCTTCCATGTATAATATTGTATAGGCTTTCACAGATTTCCCTTGCCTCATGACCCTTTGGAAAGCCCTAGTCCTTCTTAACTAACTCACAGAAGTATCTGCCAGTTAGCCAGGGAGATGTAATTTCCTTACCCAATTCCTCAATGGCTTCAACAATAGGAAATATACTGCCTTCACTGGAAAAGATCTTAAAAACTGAGGAAATTTTTAGAGATGTTTCATCCTCAAAAATAACCCATGTTGAACTGTACAGTACAGTTAAATCTCAGGTGGGTTTATGATATTTTACATTATGTCATAAAATGCCTTATATTTTATGTCACAGTATTTTATAAAATTTGTCAAATTTCAGTTCTATGGGAGTTAAGGGTTCAGGATTTTGGACTCATTCTGTAAATTAGCCTATTTAAGGTACCTTCATTGAAAATGGTTTGCCCTACATTGCAAAATTCTACCCAGTTAAAGGTTATAGGAATGAGAGTTTTAGCAATAGATAGATGAAGAAACAATTTAGGAAATGCCATAATCATTTAAGAGCAGATGAATCTAAAAATTATGCCACTGAAATTAATTCATCTATTAGGGATCAGGTCTTCCAATGGTTTCTTCATTACTGTAACCTGTAAATATATGTTTTACTTTCCACTATGAACATATAGGAGAGATAACATTACTTTAAATATAATTAGGTTCATGTTTAGGATACATATAGAATACTGTCCCACACATAAATAGGTTCTCATTATTTTTATTGATAATATATTTAATTTGTTTCTAAATCTCTTAAAATAATTCCTCTCTTTCTCTCTGCTCCACTCTTAATGCTTTCTATTGGACAAAGCATAGATTATCATTTCGTTAAATCCTCTTTCAAATGTCAATATTAGAGAATTCAGTCTAATAGTTGAATCAGACATATTTAACTAAATGCCAATTTGCCCCAGAAAACTTAATATGGCTTTTCTGTTAAATGTTCAATCTAGAAATCACTTACTATATTTTCTTCATAAAATTTGTGTCTTCTGCTATACTTCTTTGGCTTCTATATTCCTTTAACTTGAAAGTATAGATGAGGTATTGAATAAATACTATCAAACTCTTATTTGGGTACAGATGTATCATTAGTTGAATGTACATTTAGCAAGCTGATTAATTTTGTTGCTTCCCCCAAGACTTTATTACACAGCATAAGGCCACACAATCAAAATTAGACAAAATATTAATATGAGCATTTTGTTAATTAATTAGCAATTAGCAGCTTCTACAATCCATCTTTGGATATGGAATAAGTGAGAAGATATGTGTGACCTACCTTATGTTTACTTTTACCTTTTAAGATATTCCATTCTTGTCAGCTTTTTACCCTAGACTGGATGTGGCCTTTTGAAATAGACAGATGGAAATTTTGTCAATGTGCAGAGTTTTAAAGTGCCATCTATGTTTTTATAGCACTCAGTGTGATGATAATCAGTGATTTATCCAATAATCTTTCACATTTGTTTTTCAGATCTTGCAATTTTATGATCTTCTCCAATTCTTAGTCTTCTATTCTTTTATTATCAGATATTTCCATATCAATTATCCTCACTTTGTTCTTTACAACCATAGTTACACAGTATGATATGACCAAGACTTTATCAGTTTGTATTTGAAAATCCCACAATATTTTAATTGCTCATTGTTAACTACTTTTTCAACTCTGTTATTATCCATTTTTCATTACATGTCCATAATAATTTGTACTGATGTTCTAATGAATCATTTTGGTGACACTGTTGTCTTATTATTTATAATATAATTATTGTGATTATATTTTTATCTCTATATAAGACTGACTTTTAATCCTAAGGGAGGGCTGGAAAACACAGTCTCTTAGTTTTTAGGTCCAGCACCTAACTATTACAGTAAAGTGACTTTCCATAGTTAAGCCTTTAAGTGGCATCAATTTATTAAATTTGTTTGAGGCTTTTCTCACAATATTCTTTCAGCTTTTCCAAAATCTCACTTTTAAGACCCTCCAGATGGTTACAATAGTTGAGTTCCTACAGTGGTCTCTAGGTGAAAGGGTGATGTCCTTGGCCTTGAAGGAGTCAATGATGTGCTCATTCCTCATATTCTGACACAGCACTTTTGGACAATTACCATCCTTACTGCAATTCTCCCTTTTTGGGAAGTAGTTAAATTGCGATGGTAACTCAGACAAGGAGATAGAACAAATGGCCAGTTCCAGCTTTGAACTCTTTTCACATTTTGCTAAGGTTGACAAAAGAAAAAGCAACATTATGAGAGTATCCACTTTAAGAACAATGAAACACCTTCATGTTTCAGTCAAAGGAAAATGTTCTTACTATGGGAGAAAGAAAATCAGAGTTGATGAAGTTTATTTATTTTCATTATTATTATTATTATTATTATTATTTTAATTTCTATACCGCCCTTCTCCCGCAGGACTCAGGGCGGTGCACAGCATATTAAAACAGATATACATATCAATAAAAATAAAAACCCCTCTAAAACCAAATTAAAACCAAATATTCGAAGCTGTGTTCCAATTAAAATTATACCTAAAATCGTCCCTAAATAAAATCCTC